CGGTGCCGCATGGTTGCACCCAGGCCTTTGGCCAAGCCAGCGCGCAGGGACGTCGCCTCCCCTCAAGCCAGCGCACCAGCCCCTCTGCTCCCCTCGGCGTGGCCCCCTGGGCTGGTGGCGTGGCCCCCCAACCCCTTCTCAGCTCCGCGCTCCGCAGTGGCAGGGGAGTGGGGCCAGGCATGTGGGATGGACAGGGCCGCGCACTGCATGCATGGCTGGGAGCCGGCTCCATGCACATCCCCGGACAGGCGCCCTCGGGAAAGCGTAAGTTCTGATACACGGATCTTCGCATGCAGAGTTCCAGGCTGGGCGCCTGGTGCTGCCTCTTCTTCCAAGGCCTGCTTTGGCTCTGGCAGGATGCCCAGGACCCCAGACGCAGAGCTGGTGCTGCACTTACACCTCGATTATATTGACCGAGGGAGACTTCTTCTATGAGAGAAAAATCTGCTTTAAGGCTCTGCTTTGCTAAGCCCCTGCTAAGACCCCATGGCAGAGCCCCCAACCTGCCGCGGCAGGCACGAAGACCGGCAGACGTCCTCTGCAAAAGGGCTGCCAGCTGCAGCTGAGCCCTCTGCCCTGAGCTGAGGTGTGGGCCAGCTGCAGCAGGGACCTGGCTTCAGCATCTCCCTCAGGAGACCAAGGGAGCTAACCCTGAAACCCCGGCCTTTTGCACTGACGTGCTCTCCTGGCAGAAAGGTTCAGGTAGCTCAGCTGCATCGCCTGGTGCCTCCCTTAGGTGAGTCCCTTCAACCACACACTTGCCTCCCAGGAAGCCTTTCTGCCCACTGCTGTGCCCCAGCACCCCTGGGTGAACCAGCCCCCCACACTCCTCAGCCTCCAGGCCTTGCAGATGTCTGGTGACTTCTGTCTGGTCCCCAGTGGTAGCCACGCTACACCTGATGCCCTTGGACACGAGATAGGTGCAGGGTCAGAGCAGAAAAGGTAAGTGAGGGGGCAGAGTAAGGTGAGTGGGGCAGAGAATCCACAAAGCATGGGATGACTGGTGTGGAGGGACAGACGAGGCCTGCTGAGTGCCAGGCACGTCTCACTGCCATGCCCCTCATGACAGCTCTGGTGTGTGCCAAGGGTACTAAAGGCTGCAGGCGGTGACACGGATTTTCTCAAAAACCGTTGCAAGCATGAGCAGGCACTTTCCTTTACACTAAAAGGAATGTGCTCATTGAAGAGCACAACAGATATGTGAATTCAGAGAAGGTCCTAGGAAGGGAAGGGGTCCTGGTTGCTGCACACGTGTTTTGTAGCTCAGCCCTTCCATGCTGAAGCAGGGTGCAGGAGGCGAGTGTCCCCATGACCACACTTTATAACAGGGCTCAGATGAAGAGCTGCACTGTTGTCTGCTACTTTGCAGCAGCTTGGCTCTGAAGTCAGGAGGGGAAGCTAATGCAGAGCTTTTTCTTTCCTATACCTTGTTCCCAGCTTTGTAATTAAGGACTGCAAGAATAAACTTGCAGTGTTGTCACCTGCAAGGATGCCAAGAGTATGGTGAAGGCAAAAAGACAAACTGAGGTGCATCAGCCCTGTACAGGTTATCTTTGCAAGCAGCAGGAACAGGCCTTTGCACCCGCCTTTGCAGCCCTATAGGAGCAGTGTCAGCTTGGAGCAGGGATCCAAGAGGAGGGATCTTTTTGGCAAGGAGTAATCAGGAGGCTGGAAAATCTGGAGGAGAACTGGGGCCTTGAAGTCCAAACAGGAAGTTTCTGCTCCTGACATCCACTGGAAACCAAGATGTGGAAGCAGGGGGGCAGTTAGCAACACAGTGAGTAGAGTTCCCATCATTGATAGAGGAGGCAGATGAGACACAAGAAAAAACCTAATGCAAGGTCCAGTTAGAGCATGCATATCAGGGTTATAAATCACCGTCTTTGTCAAGTAACAAAGGGAGAAGTGTCAGCTGCTGAGGGAACAGCCAGATGAAAGTACGGCTCCCTCCCCATCTGTAGCCTGGCACAGTACCTCCATTAGGGTGGGGAAGGGGCTCTGGGGTCCTTCCCATGAACGACTTGTGTGGTGATGGCCTGGAGCAGGCCCCAGCGAAGGCAGAAAGCGAGCAGCGATAGACCAGTGCAGGAACCATAAGAACAGCTGCCCAGCTTGTCCACCTCCTGCCTGAACAGGCAGGAGCTAGGCCTGTCTACGGGATGCAGAAGAGGTGCAGCCTTGGAGGGGCACGGTGAAGGGGCTGTTACAGTGAGAGCACAGGTACCACCCTGCAATGTGGGAGCTATCCCAGCTGATATATCCTGCCGTCTTTTCCCATGTTTTTCCTGCAGTCACCCATGGGGCACACACACTGCCCCAGAGAGACCAGGGCTCACTGCACCCTAAAAACCCTGTTTTTAGGGTAAGAGCATGAGCTGGGGTGTTTCTGTTTCTGGAGAGAGCCAGAACCTGTCGAGGCAGCAAGCCACAGCAGATGTCATATGCCAGCCCTCCTGCCAGCCCTCCCACTCACCTTGTTCCGCAGCAGCCCTCCGCTCGGTCGCTCTGGCGTGCTGTGCTCCGAGGATGGCTTTGTCTTTTCCTTGTTGTTGTTGGAGTCGTTGTCCTTGATGATGTCATACTGTCTGCAGAAGAGGGCGATCACGGCTGCCGAAAGACAAGGGATGAAGGACTTCCTCACACTGGCTGCCTCCTGCCTCCCCTCCCCACAGCGTCCCAGCTGGAGAGCAGTCGGGCCCAGGGCACCCTGGCATGCTGGTCACCCACACTCTCCGTGTCAGCCTGGACCACCCCAGGCATCTCTGTATGTGTGGCCAGGCCAGTCTCCTTGGGCAGACGAGGCACAGATGTGGCTAAAGCACATGTGAGATGCTCGGTGCCTACAGGTCAGGGCTCTGAGGCCAAAGGCAGATGTTGAGGCACTCGGAGAGGGACAGCCCTTGAGGTCAGTGAGCAGCTGAGTGGGTTTCTAAGTGCCTCCAGCAAGGCACTACAGTTATTGGTCCAGTGCTTGCGACCCTCACAAAAGCTAGCCCTTGGCTTTGTCCTGTCTTGCAAACTGACTGTGGAATCAGTCACTCTGTCATGGTTTTACAGCACCCATCTCACGCAGCACACGTCCCACACCTTGGGACCCTGGAGGCAGGACTCTCGAGCAATGCTTTGAGCTGTAGTCATTAGATGTGTTGGACCCATTCAAACCACAGTGCGTTATCACAGCCACCCCCAGACTGGACCTGATTTCTCCCTGTTGGCACTCTGACACACCAACACGCACGAGGTGTAAGCTAGCAGCAGCCATCTTGTATTTTCTTCCAGTGCACTAGAAAAGGGTTCAAGGCCAGGACACTCCTGCAAGATGCCACTAAGAAAATCCACATTTACTGGGAAGGGAGTAGGGGACAAATGACTTCCCATTCACAGCAGCTGCATGTGACCCCTCAGGAGCTGACTGTTATCTCTTAGGCTTCCTTGCTCCCAGGGCAACCTGCTGTTTGCTAGAGCACTGGCTTTAATCAGGTGCTGTACAGGAGCAAATCACCCATCTTACAGTTTCAGCAGATTGAGGCACAGCCACTACCAGCCAGTGCAGTGATATTATCAGATGTCGGACAAGCTAGCTAAGGCTCATTACATGATAGTTAATGTCAGAAGGGATGCTCCCACCCTGTAATTCTGTATTACTTGGGTCCCACATTGTCTCCTGCTCTTCCAGCAGAGCAGTCAGGCCAGCCAGCCCACATGCTCCAGGCTGGTTGCTCCTTTTACTCCACTGGCTTGAGCTCCTACAGACTCAATGGACTTACTGGAAAGGATGCCAGACCCATACCAATATGCCTCTGCACTCTCTTGAGCCCCATCCTCTTTGTGGACCCTAGATTGCACCTCTGCCCCAGCCTGCTGGAACGTTGCTTGTGGCACTCACCTGCCCACATGAGCAGCACAGCCACGATGATGATAATCTCGCCTGTTTGCAGTTGCCTGTCTTTGTCCAGCCCTTCCATGGTGATGTCACCTGCAGCAAAGAGAACCCAGGCAGGGCTGGCAGCAGACACCCTCCCACCAGAACCTACTTCAGGACCAGCAACACTCGAGGATCTGAGGAGCTCCAGAGGAGAGAGGCCCACCTCCCCCAAACAAGGACGGGTGTGGGATGACATCTTGGCTGGGGAGAGGACATGCAGCCTTTGGCTTTCCTGTGTCAGATAAACCATCCTCGCTACCAAAGGCAGTCAGGGATTCTAACAGCTTGTTTGGGTTCTAGTAGCGACTGCACAATGCATGGGAGTAATCACTGAGGTTACTCCCTACGTAGGGACCAGGGCAGGTTAGGAAGGTCCTGAGTTGAACACAAAAGTTCTGAGGAAAGTAAGTCATCTGCTTGCCCTGTTATACCCTTCTCAAGTCCCCCTCTTATGGCTAGTGCTGGAGACAGACTCCTGTGCCCAGTGGACACCCTCTGGGCATCCTCTCTCTTGGATGCTTGGATCAGCTTTCATGGACCAGCATGTAGGCAATCCCAAGGCAAGAAGGCACAACATGGATATGAGTAGGAAAGGACACTGTGGGGCTCCGTCATTTATCCTTTGGTAGCTTGCAGGCTGGGAGATCTGAGACCCTGTTTAATATTTGCTTCCTACAGGCAGCAGCTGAGCAGGCCACAGCAGTTGTCCTGGCCACAGCCTGCTTAGCTGAATAGGGTGCCAAGACCTGGGATAGGAGGGCTGTGAACCAGGGCTTGGGGACAGTGTCATGGCCACAGTGGATACAACAGCAGCCTGTACAACCCTGCTACCCACTATGACTCTGCGTGTCCCAAGCAGCCTGCTGCTCAGGGCAGCACATTCCTCGCTGGCTGCTGGATCCCTGCCCCTGTGCTGTGGAGACCTCCTCGCTGGTGTGGCCCCACCAGCGGCACCTGGGCGAGCTGGAAGGAGCTGCCTCACCTTGGTTGGAGCTGTTGGAAGGGAGGCGGTCGGTCTCCTTCAGGGTCCGGAAGTGGACACGCTTACTGGCCTGGCTTTCCCCGTACAGGCCGATGCTCTGCACCTGGATGATGTAATCAGCATCCTCCGCCAAGTCCCACAGCACGCAGGCCCGGTTGGTGGTGTTCACCTCCCGGATGAAGCGCTGCATCTGTCCATCTTGCCGCTGCCAGAGTGAAGAGCTGTCATCCCCAGGAGGCTGCTCCCAGCTGCACCAGGCACAGGCCCCTGTCTGCAGCGCTGTGCTGGGCAGCCCTCACTCCTCCCTTCCCGGGCAATCCTCCACCCCTGGGGTGGGCCAGGCTGGCCAGCACTTTGCTATGCAGCATCCCTGTGTGGCCTGAGAGCCAGGCGCCTCCCTGGAGAAGCCACCATCGACTGGGGCTGTGGGGGCAGAGCAAGGCAAGCAAAGAAGGGTTATGTCATGGCTGAAGCACCATCCTTATCCAGAGAAATTGCAGGGAAGCCACTGGAGAGACAGCCACCCCCAGCACAGCCCACGGTCTGCTGCCTCCCACCAGGCTGGATGGCTCAGACAGGGCGCCCTGGCAAGGGCTGCTCAACAGCAGAGGTGTCCTCAGGCAGGTGCCAGAGGAGCTCCAAACTGTGGCAAAAGGGCTGACACAGGAGCATGCTGGTAATCAGTGGGAGGGGTCCCCAGCCCCCTGGGGACAGAGCCTGGGATACCTGCTGCAAGATGGCATAGCCGATGACCACGTCTCCTTCTGGGACGTCCCAGGAGACTGTGGCAGAGTTTGCCTTCAGCTGCGTCACAGTCACGTTGACAGGGGACGGTGGCCTGTCTGGGTGAGCCAGGGACGGACCGAGGCAAGGCACAGGAAAGAAGCAAAAGAAGACGTCTCAGAACAGGCACTCACCCCTGCACACCACCATGGGGGGCCTCTCCAACATCTGCCCATGGCAGCACATTGGCCAGGGCTACAGGGAGCAGCTTCTCGGGTGAATCTGTCCCCCGGAGAGGAGTGGCACAGCAAGTGCACAAGGCTGAGCCCCTGCCAGCAGCAACACATGCATGGGATGGTGCTGACTGGGCTGGTGGGCAGCTGCCCACCGAGTGTGGGGGAGCTGTGCAGGCACAGAGCTACTCCCTGCCTGGGCAGCTACCCCTCTGTGGCACCCGCTGGCTTTGGCAGTCTTCGCTCGCTGGCCAGGACTCCTCCCTGCCTGGCTGTTGGTGAGAAATGCGCTTACTGCACACCTCACCCTCTGCAGTGTCCTACAGTGGGGAAAGAGGACAAGCTCACGAGGCATCTGACTGGCTCTTCTCTAAAGGGCTTGCTTGCAGTGGCAGACATAGCCCATTGCTCATAATACATGTTCCACGTAAGAGGGATTAGCAGCGCTGACCACAGCCAGTGCCCAGGCTGCCAGACCCAGCTAAAGACACGAAGGGCCCCCAGCAGGCTCCTTCCACCTTGCAGACATCGAAAAGGGAAATGCATGAAGGCCTGTCCTGAGCAAAAAAGAATTACAGAGTTTAAGAGACTGTCATGGCAATTTAACTAGTCTCTGCAGCTCAAAATCACATGAAAAGTCCCTGCAGCCTGTCTCAGAGCACTGCAGAGTCCCCGCTGTCAGAGACGAGAATGACATTCCCATCAGCTCTTCACGAGGGCATCTGCTTGCAGATCTGAGGTACCTTCACTGCTGCTCAGATGTTCATCTGTTGGAACTTCATTCAGCTCCAGCACTAGCAGAAGCAGGACTGCCTGGCATGACATGCTCCTGCTCAGCCTGGGCACAGAGTAGATTCTTGGCAGGGAAGTCCCGTGTTTCTGTAGGGTCCAGAACGTCCAAACAAATCCTACATTAATGCAATTATTCAGCCAATACTGTGATGGTAAAATCAGACTCTTCTAAGCTCTGGGGCTGCCCCGTGGATGTGCACATCACGAATGCCTGGCACACCACCCAGAACTGCGTAGGAAGCAGCCCAGACACAGTATTTATATATCAACTGTGACAGAAAAATAGGGCAGCTTGGAATAAACACACTATGCAACTCAATCTGGCCATCTCATCTGCCTGGCATTACTCCCTCCTCTAAAGTGGGGAGGAAAGCCCAATGCAGAAGGCAGAGCTGACTTTCCCAACGGTGCAATGCCATCGGCTGCAAAGCTGGCAGCAACACTTAGCCGTTGCTATCTTTCAGAAAGCTGGCCTGATTGACCCATGGTCTGCACCATCACCATTTTGAGATTTCACAGCACGAAGAGCATGGCAGGATCCTACACAGGTACACAGACCTGCATACAAAGCCAAATTTTGTCTGGAAATTAGACACAGGAGCACATGAAGAAAGACACTGAGGCTGCTGTTCATGTGTCCTCTCTCCCTATAAACAATATAGTGTCCTTCTACAAGCTGCTTGTGTAGCACAAGTTCAATGCTGTGATTTATATAGATAGAAAAATTGCCCCAGAGGGCACCTGAGAACAAGAAAAAAGACGACAATAGACACCAACAACAACCACAGTTAGAGGGACAAGGAAAGGTCATTTCTGCAGGTCAGCTATTTAAATGCATTCATTCACATTTGAATATACCCAGCTCCATGACAGATCTAACCAGGAGAAGGCTGTGATTCCCACTCTGAGAGATGCAGGTTTGTGGTCAGCCACGGGCAACTAAGACAGATAGGAGGGTCACCCACAGAGCCCAGAAAACACCTTCTCAGAAAGACACTGGGGCTGAGTGCATCCCCAACAGAAGCCTGCCGCATCACCAGGAGATAGAGACATTGGAGACAACACGAACAAGGACATCACAGGATACTGCACCCTCTCTTCCAGAACAGGAGGCTGGAAAACTGGAAAGGATTCAAAGATACACTCGAATATCCTTTATCCCATGAAGAGTGTGTCTCCTTAGAGTTTTGCCAGTGGGACTCTAGTTCATCACTCTAACCTGTGAGAGAGTCTCTGAGCCATGTCCTTATCTGCACATCCTGGTCTCCCAGGATCTCTGGGGAGCAAAAGAGGCTCCCAGACCTGGCCACTGACTGGGGCATGTGTGTTCTGTCTGCACAGGAGCTGAGCTCCCCACAGATGTGGTCTGGTTTTCCACTCCAGCCACGGCCAGTGTGCAAGTTAGTTGCACAACTAAGAGCTGAGCTGTAGACGGCACCCTGCCAGCTAGCAAATAACCACCCCCTTGCACTGCCCCAGGCAGAAGCATTTCAAAGTGTGTGTGTGTTGGGGGGCTGCAATGTTTCTGCTAGCCTTCAGGCGTAAGAAGAACAGTTGTTCAAGGCTACCACTATGCTAGCAAATGTCATGAGGTCAGGAACAGCCCAGGAATCCAGTGGTGGAGACTGGTCCCAGGAACTGCTTTGGTCTGAACCAGCCAGCATGTGCCCAGACCACTCTTGGGCACGGCTCAGGAGTTAGCATGAGCCATGAACCATTCCTAGTAGGTAGCACTGATGTGCTCCCCTCTTTGGAACTCATGAACTTAGTGCTATGGATGTGGCCAGACCCTGCCAGCTGGCCTCAGTTCAAGAACAGGACCTGGTGCTTCACAGGATACATCGACAGTAAGAAATTAGGTAGCTTTTTATATCTAACAGAATGAGAAGAGGTCTGCACATGCCCAAAGTGGGCAGTTGGACTTCCCAACCTTTAAGTGTATGTGTGGAAATTAAAGGCTGGGTCTGACATCTCTGCAACGCAAAAGTCTGTGGATGAAGCTTGCAGCAGGCTCCCTGCTCTGCACAAGAATTTTCTAGGCTTCTGCAGGGAGCCCAGCCTGGCCCAGCCCAGGTTTTCGGGCTGGGGATGCTGAGACATGGCCCTGGGGCTGAGTCACTCCATGGTTTGAGAACAAGGGCACTGCACTGATCCACGAGCCATGCTGCTGGGTCCACACAGGGCTGACAGTATTGCTTGAACTGTACTTAGCCAGAGCTTGCACAGACCGTGTGTAGGGACCTTCACTCACTGGCAGCAGAAGGGCATCCTAGGGGGGACACCACATCAAATTGCAAAGACAGTACAGTCAAAGCCAGCATGATCCACTATTATACCCAGAGCCAATCCCCAAATGTCCCAAATAGACAGAGGGGAGAGCAAGAGCCGATGGGGGCATGGCGGAGCCACAGCGCGTGTGGCTAGTCAGTGCTTCAGACCTCATGCATCGTAAACACACTTTGTGCAGGCTCCAGACAAGCAGACCTGAACCTGTGTGACAGTGGTACCTGAAGGTGTCCAGGCTGCAGTTCTTCATTGGAAAATGAGTGTCCCTTCGTCAGTTGGTAGTTCACCAAACTGTGGAAAAGACATTTCTGAGGACACGGGATTTGCACGCCTAGCAGGAAGAGGCCGGACAAGAAGTTTCAGAAGTCGAAACTCGAGAAGTTCACCCTAGAAACAAGGGGCAATGTTTAATCCGAAGGGTATATGCAAGGCGAGACCTCACTGAAAGTCGTTATGACAAGACCTCCAAAGGACAGCTCACACCATAGAAAGCTTTGCGTATGATCCCCACATTAAGCTGAGCGTTCTCCAGCCTGCTCTGCAGCTGAGGTCAGAGCAGTTTCATGCCAGAGCTGTTGCCATAAAGATCTGTGAGTGCAAGGGCTCCAAAAAATATAGTCTCTGAAGCCAACTATTAAAAACATTCCTGTAAAGCTAAGATGCTCCAACACCCTGCTGGGCTTGCTGGGAAAAGCATGCCACAGGTAACTCCTGCCCAATGCATTAATTGCTAATGATTCTGCATCATTTATAAGTTACCCAGCTTCACTTTTGATTAAAGCCATATTAAGAAACGGGCACCACCACAGAAAGAGCAATCACTTACTCAAGGCCTGGCACACCCTTTTGTCCTGTCAGTACAGCAGCGCGTTCCTTTCAGGCCTGCTGAAGAGGTGGGAAGAGTTGGTCCTGTGCGCTGGAGCCAGCAGCACTGCAGCCTGAGGCTGGGCAGCAGGGAGGGCTGGCCCGTGGGCAGCCGAGCTCTGGACTAGATCTGCCACGCAACCTGGCTTTGTAGGTTAGAGAAGGGGCCGGACAGATGCCCCTCAAGAGCAATGTTGGCAGATGTGGCACTGCATAGGGACGGGGCACAGCCCCACTGGTGCCCTCCCCATCCTGCTATGACTCTGGAGAGGGGACCTCACCTGCCCCTTGGCCCATGCCCTTGGGACTGCTGCTCAAGGGCACCCAGATGTTTGCCCAACTTACCCCTGCAGTCGGGAGGTAAGCATCAGACTGCACATCTAAAAATAAGTGGCCCCTTTTTAACAACCCTGACTGCATTTCTTCTGAAACCGTCAGGCCCTGGAGTACATATTTTGCAAGGAGACGGAAAACATGGCAGAACATATCAGAACATGTCTGATACTTGCAATTCAATTTAATACATCAGCAACCTGACAAGGGGCAAATAGACAG